AAGTGGTAGAAATACTTCATTACGATGAAAGCTTCTCCCGAGTCTCTTCTTCTCCACATTCCCTCTCACCTCACCGTTCTCTCTCGTGTGTTTATATACTCTCTACTTCTCTTTCGTTCCACCCTCTTTGTGAATTTCTTTCTCGAAGGTATTTGCATCGCATGCATGCGTTTTTACAGCGCAATATCAGAGGCAGTTTAGGGGAGGATTGGGATAAAACTGAGATAGAATCTTATTGCAATTGTTGTGACAAGAGTATCAAAATTCTGTTATAAAAATATCAGGATTAATAATTTACAATAATTTCTTATAGTCGTTAAAATCATTCAAATCATTATCTTTATCAATGATGGCCTTTGTTATTTATTTATTTCAATAGTATGTTGTGAAAAGTAACTTATGTTATACTTAAGTCTTTCTTTAAAATAAAGAATCAATTTTTTATTTAGCGCCACTGATCGTTTATACTATTTTTTTATTTTGATTTGTGTATCTTAAACAAAATTGCTATTATTCTCGAAAGGCTTGAACCATTCACTCCAGAAGAGTCTCGAAGACGAAAGGGAAAGGGGACAATATTCGGATGAGCAACTTGTACAACAGGAACGTTACAGCGAGGTCCAATAACTAGATTAGCTCTAAGCGTTTCAGGGCACTCACTTTAAAGAACCACTCTCTCTTCCTCTCTTGCACTACGACTACTCCCTTTAGGATCTATCCCTAAACATCCTCTGGGTGTCGTGAAACGTGATAAATTGCTGACTTGGAAGATAACGTGTGGATCGCCATTTACTAATTGATGCAATAAAATCGGATGTTGTTTTTATTGCATTTTTAGGCTAGAATTATTTTCATCACTTGCGAAGTATTTATTTTGAAGAGAAGAGTGTTTGATTGGACTTCTGATGTTCATTTTGGAATTATTTAGCATAAAACAATTAAATAAATGTTAATTTTAAATGCTGTTTAAACTTAAAAATCCAACATTCTTTTATGAAGTTACAGGATCAAAAATCCAAATCTTGGAAGATTTGCAATCTCAAGAATCGATAAATCAATAGATTGGAAAAAGCTTTAATTTAGCATTTAAAAAATTATTACTTTCGTATATTCAATATCCTTAAAAAATCTTCCAAGTATCTACATTATTCTTATTTCATTATATTAAAATATATTCTTCGCTATTTTTTGAGAATTTCTGTGGCTAGTCAGAGTATTCACACAACTAGTAAAAAAAATAAGGTATATTCTTCCGGATATCTTTGTGGTGTCAGAAAAAAAGTGAAACGTGACGTGCTTGTCCGTTAAATTCCAATCATCGAATCGAGAATGGAGCTTTTTGTCGCCTTGCGTGGGAATTTCGCAACAGTGCACAGTGGGAGAAAAGGGACAAAATCTGTGAGTGCTGCAACGAAGTGGATGTGTATCATCCAAAAATATGCTTGGCGGCGAAAGAGCGACGAGAAAGTGTCGTGTCGACACATAAAAGGAAATGTGGAGGAAGAAGCATGGGAGAATAAGGCTTGGGAAGGGGGAAAGCAGAGGGTTGGAAAATAGAAAAGGGGGTGGTACAACGAAGGTTCGAGCGTGCGCATCATTTTTACTGAGAAGGAGGAGAAAGAAGAGGAGGAGAAAGAGGAGAACGTGGAGGAGCAAGAGGAGAAGGAGACGCTTCCCTTATTCGACGTCGCCGGGGAAACGAAAAATGGGGGATAGACGGTGCGAGGCGAGGAAGAAAATGACGGATAAAGGAGTTCGAGGGAGTTGCGGAAGGTTCTTTGTCGACTGGGGTATTTAACGGAAATACTAGACGGAATATCTCCGTCGACGCTAAATCACGCGGATGTGTGTTGTGCACGAAGTCGTTCATAAAGGAAAACGATGAGAAATAATATGTCGTGACAGAATGATAGTCCTGATTGTGCAATGAATAATTCTCGTTGCGTTAAAGATTTTTTTCTAAAAAGTCGCGAATAAAATATGTCTTAAGGCGCGTTCACACTTTGACGGAAAAGCAGAAAGCGGAAAAGCAATGGCCAATCAGAACTCGCGTTGGTAATAAGTAGTACAAAAAGCCAAAATTGTCGACTACCGGTGCAAATTCTGATTGGCTGCTGCTTTTCCACTTCCTACTTTTCCGTCAAGGTGTGAATGCGCCCTTAGCGGAAAAACGGGAGCCAATCAGAACTCGCGCTGGTAATAGAAGCAGAAAAGTGGAATGTACCGCTTATTACTTACCTGAGTTCTGATTGGCTTCCGTTTGTCCGCTTTCTGCTTTTACGTCAAAGTGTGAACAGGCCTTATACTTAGGGATATTTCGACTATATTTCGTCGGAATTAATTTTTTGCAGAATGATATATTATATTCTAAACAATTCTGTTACCTTGTAAAAAAATTAATTCTTTTACTTTTTTATTAGTATGGGAATAAGTTTCCGCCCATTGCAAAAAGATGTCGTTAGTAGCATTGCTCGTGTGTTTGATAGAACGGCAAGCATGTTTTTGAAAGGTGTGTGTCCAAACTTTTGAGCCCAATAGATGGCATTCGTTCGAAGCGTAACAAAGAGTAACTTTTTTTGCGTTGAAGATGTCGGAATTTATTCCAAAAAAGCAACATTTGCGGGAAGTTTTACTCCATTATTTTATTTTAAAGAAAAGTGCTGCGGAAATGCATCGTTTGCTCGTAGATATTTACAGTGAGCATGCTCCATCGAAAACTAGTTGTAAAGAATGGTTTCGGCGATTCAACAGTGGTGATTTTGACGTGCGTGACAAAGAACGCGAAGGTGCACCGAAAAAATTTGAAGATCCAGAATTGCAAGCATTACTCGAAGAAGATTCGTGTTTATCGTTCGATAGGTTGGCAAAAGAGTTAAATGTTGATAGATCCACTGTTGGAAAACGTCTACACGCAATGAGAATGGTGCAAAAAGAACGAAATTGGGTGCCATACAAATTGAAAGAGAGAGACATGGAAAGACGTTTGGTCATCTGCGAGATGCTTCAATGACAACAAAGGAAGGGTTTTCTACATCGTATCGTAACTGGCGATAAAAAATGGATCTACTACGATAATCCTAAATCCTTGAAGGCATGGGTGATGCCAGGTGGACCAGGTCCATCAACACCAAAACGAAATATCCATGCTTCGAAGATTATGTTGTGCATCTGATGGGATCAAAGAGATATTATATATTATGAGCTGTTCAAACCGTCCGAAACCATCATTGGTGATCGTTATCTACAACTGATACGTTTAAACCAAGCTTTGAAAGAAAAACGACCGGAATGGGACAATAGGCACAACAAGCTGATTCTGTTACATGACAACGCTAGGCCCCACGTTGCAAAACCGGTCAAGAAATACTTGGAAGGAGTAAAGTGGGAAATTCTGCCCCACCCGCCATATTCACCGGACATTGTAAAAACTACATCCGTAAAAACTACATCCGTAAAAACTACATCCGTAAAAATTACATGTTGATTGGCTAGACATTTCTAGATCCAAGAACTCTGACAGAGTTCTAGCACAGGACTAGGATTTAACAACACACAATTGAGATTTTTACTCATAGATGGAGCGTAGCTTAAATGCAGGATAAATTCTGCATGTGTAGGCGCGGATGGCAGTCTCAAGAGATCGTTCGGCCCAAAAAAACGTGTTTTCTTCGGTTTGAATGTTACATCGTATTTTTAGAAAGTAAGATCAACTTTGATCGAGCATTCACATTCACTTATTTTGTTTTCCTCTGTTATACTACTTTGATTACTACGAAGACACATAAGATAGACTGTCTTATTTGTCTTGCGTTGTGAAATACTTGGCTAATTGCATTTATTCCGTATCCGTTTTTTTTGTTAAAAGAAATGTAATATTCGATACTTTTTTAATGCACTTGTTGAAATATCTCGGAAACGATTGATCATCCACGCCAAAACAAGGATATGATTACAATATGTTCAGAGGAATGTGCTCTATGATTCTGCTAAATTTCATTGAAATTGGTGAAGACCATATCTGAATCTTCTCTTGTAAGAGAGATGTCTAATGGTTTTGTTCACGGATTACCTATCTGTGGACCCGAGTTCGATCCACAGATTGGTAGTCTCATCCTCGCCTTGCGTATTCGTATTCTTTTAATGATTCGTATTCTACAAGTACCCTTCGTCATTTCGCTGTTTGGCCACAAGTAAGTCTAGTGTAGTAATCAAAGTAGTATAACAGAGGAAAACAAAATAGGTGAATGTGAATGCTCGATTAAAGTTGACCTTACTTTCCAAAAATACGATGTAACATTCAAACCGAAGAAAACATGTTTTTTTTCGGCCGAACGAGACTGCCATTCGCGTCATGCAGAATTTATCCTGCATTTAAGCTACGCTCCATCTATGAATAAAAATCTCAATTGTGTGTTGTTAAACCCTAGTTCTGTGCTAGAACTCTGTCTAGAGTTCTTGGATCTAGAAATGTCTAGCCAATGTAGTTTTTACGGAAAAACAGTAAATTGATTGGATATATATTTTTTAGTCCAAGAATTTGGACCGAGTTCTAGCACTGGACACAGATGTTCCTTAATTCAAGACATAATTGAGATTCTTATTCATAGATGGAGTGTAGCTTAAACGCAGGAAAAATCTTGCTATGTGAGGCATGGATGGCAATTTCGAAAGATCACTCGGCTGAAAAGGACTGGTTCTCTTTGGTCTGACACAGAGCTTTACACCAATTAGGTTTCTTCCTGATTAAAAGACAAGTTTGATTAAAGTGTAAGTAATAATGCTTAAAAGTTAGTTGATTTATTACTGGCCAATATAGTTTCATTCACGGAGCCGAAGGTCAATTAAAGAACAAGTTCTCTTATAAGCAAGAGAGAACAAGTTCTCTTTCGAAGAAACTTCAAGGTGTAATTCCTCCAAAAAATCAGAGAAATTGAACAATGTTTTTTGAAGTGAAGAATTATTTGTAGAAATAAAAATATTAAGAAATTAGTTGTTCGTACCTAGCCGCTTGGAAATTTCGCTGTTGTGCATTTTGGGATTCTCTTGTGCAATCTTCCGTCGCTGTAGTCGCGACCAAACCATGAAGGCGTTCATTGGCCGTTTAATGTGCTCCACCGGGACCTTCTTGCCTGCTGAGCCGAGCGGACTACTCCCCCCCATAAGGCCGACCCCCATGTGACCGACACTACCCGGTGGCGACGTACCCGTCATCCCTTGCATACTACGCAAGGTTTCTGTGAAGGAGCCGTCACACATGTTGCCGCCGGCTCTGTAATTAAAGACGTCCATCGGTTAGCGACCTTTATTAGTTCGATCATTTTGAGATATGTGAGATCTTTGGGAAGATGAAAATATCGGAGTGAAAAGTGAGATATTATTAAAATTAAATACTATATTAAGTAAGCAAATTCAAGCCTATAACAGTCGAAGTTAGATCTTTCAATGCCTAAATAATTCAAAGTGAATTATATATATATATATATACAATATATACTATATATGTACATGTATATATATCATATTTTGTAGTTATTCAAATTGCGCTGAATTAAGAAATTATTAAAATTATTATTAACTTTCTTTTTTCTCTTTTTTTTTGCTACTTAATTCTCTGTTTTTCTCTTTTATATTTCTTTTTAACCCATTAGCTGCCACGATCCCCATTTGGGGATTTTGGAATTTTACGTACATCACTCGGCGCCAAAAATATATTTGGTACGCCTGACAGTTTAGTTTCATTCTATATATATCAGTCAATATTGTGTGTAGCAGAAAGTGTGTATTCTGTGCTTCGTTTCTTTACAACAAGTGAACAAATTTGAAATTCGTCTGTAAGTTGAACGGAACAGAATTGTCATATTTGAAGCATTATATTTTTGGTTTGGTTTTTATATTATAATGAAATACACAGTACATAAATGGGTTAATATTTCCAAAAAAGATTTTTCTGATAAATCGAGGCGAATCAAATCAATATAAGTTTTAAGAGAGTTGTCGTTAGATCTTTCATTTTTGTTTTAAATGAGTTGTTTTATCATGCTAGTTACTTCCATATGTTCTTTTATGTCGAAAAAAATAGATAATACAATAGATTTGTATTGCGTGTATAGATTCAGTGTTAGTTGATGATACAAACGCAGAGATCGTGAGTTTACAAAAAAAATTTTGTAATTAATATAAATTCACAATCTTAATTTTATGATTTTGTAATAAAGATATGTTAAAACTTATGCAAATTATAATGATTTTTATCTAGGATATTTAATTTGTTAAATAGATCTAATAAATGGCGAGTTGAATCGTCCTTTCGGAGCGAATCGGATAATTCTATTTCCTTGATATTTTTTGTTATGCAATAAGAAATACACGTTTGTGTATTATTTGATTATATAAAACTCAAGTGTTGTATGTGTTATAAAGATTAAAATTTTAATAAAACTTAATGATGAAATTTGTTTTCATTATTTTTTCAATAAAAAAAAATTAATCCGATTCGTTACGGTTTATTTAATATTCGTAATTTTTTTTGCTTATTCACACATTTTTAATACAATTAAACGTTAAACAAACTTAATGTCTTTGAATACACTTATTAAATATTTAAACACATTCTTTTAAACATCTCCGTTTTTGAAGATAGAAATGACTTAAAATAATTTAAGTATACAACTTGTAATTATTAATACATGTGATAATTTTATTATAGTGATTATCATCTTTAATAGTATCTAATATAAAACACAGACATAAATTTTTGTTAGTATTTTTGCAGTATTTTTTTAAAAATCCATATATATAAAATGACAATAATATATAATATGATGATGTATCATCGATTATCATCGATAGATGCGAATCTTTTTTGAAATAACATAAATTATTGTTATAAATAATGTATTGCAACAAAAATTATGTACCAAAAATTATCGTTAATATCACTATTACTAATGTTGCTATTACTACTATTACTATTGACATTCTTTATAAATATTTTAATAGTAATAACTTTATTAACGATTTATTTGTATAACTTCCACATACATATTGAGGTAAAAACATATTTTGTGTTCCTTTGAAGCTATTTTCATTATGTTAATAAAATCTATAATAAAATATAATTAATATTAAATTTACAAAAAATATTATATAAATTATATAAATTAATGGATAAAGAACATATTTATGTTAACCTTATTTAACCTTTTTTTAATCACTAATGCGGGACTTTTAAGGCAAGTATCGCCTCGAGGTTCGGTCCGTCTCCTAAAAGAACTTGGTCAAGGACGCAGTGTCCAGCTGTTTGTTTCATTATAAGAATGAATAGAAGTGCCTGTGTCTTCAATGACGCAGATCGCATATTTTGTGTAAATAAAAAAATTGGATTTTTTGTATCTCTTACTTATCTTTGACGCTAAGTTTAATGAGTATCTATATGAAAATTTTATTTTAAAAATAAATTTTTGAATATTTTACATTTTTTTCATTATTATTGCAAAATCAACATTTATGGAGATATATCAGATATATATGATTCACAAAATACTTGAAATTAACTCTTTTGCTACGACGGGCCATATATCACAAAACTTTTTTTTCTTCCAAAAAGTATTGGCAAAGTATGAAAGTATCTGTATTGAACAGAGAAAATTAATTAATGAGCAATGATTTTTTCATACGATTGATTTCTGAGATCTACCGAAGAACTAAAAGTAAAAACTAATTAATCAAGGTTGGTAAAGGCTAATGCTTTTTTTAAGAATAAAACATTTGTGTTTCTTCTTAAATATATTTTTAATACTTCAAATATTTAAAAACAGTACTATAAAATATATATCTAAAAAATATTTAAAAAATCAATTGATATATTTTAAACTGTTTAAAATACGTTTTTTATTAACCTTACAATTAATCATATTAAAGAATCACTGAGCGATCACTAATTAGTTTTCTCTGCTAATGCAGCCAAAGCGACGTTGTATAGATGTAAAACGTAATCCGAACTTTTAAGAGTCTAAGCACAAAGATAGTTGTAACTGAGTCGTAGAATGTAAATCGCAGTTATAAGTTGATCAAACATTGTGCATTGACTACCACTCACGTTTCACGATTTATTATAGTTACGGTCATTCTTATGATAAGGCCCTAAAATTGTCCGCATTTGATACATTTTTGACGAGGCGTTTAGTGGAGACATATATAGATTATATAATAGAGAGGATCGCCGTAACGAAAGGTTAAAAATTCCACAAAGAAAAATTAAAGACAACACAAAAGATGTCCATTTTGTCATTTGTCAGATAACAGGAAAATGTTATGTAGGCGTGACTTATATGGAAAATCTAGAAAGGAGTCATCATACATACTATTATGCAAGTTGTGCTATATAATATTCTTTTGAAATTCTTGAACACATTTTGATAAAAATAAAAGGACTTTAATAATATTAAACCGTTGTGAATAATTTTACTTTTATTTTTTTGCGAAAAACTTCATTTTTTATTTATACAAATCTTTATTTTTAAACAAATAATTCAACTTTTTGAAGTCACTTTTTGAACACATTATTATTTTTTTTTTCTAGTACATACTCTCAAATATTGTAGATTAAAAGGAACTATTTTTGTTCACTCATATATAAAGATTATGAATCTTTAATCGATACGCGTTTTTTCAGAATTCTTACATTTAAATTTATAAGAAGTAAGTAAATGCAATACGACTTTTATTTTGTAAAAACTTGTTAAAGATTTACAAGCACACAAGAATTTTTCAGATTTTTATATAGTTCAGAACAATAAAAAAAATCTATTGTAGATCTCAATGCCCCAAATTATAGATCAAATGATCGAAAATTTGATATTGTCGGTGGAGAATTAAAAATAAATGAACATATCCTATGATACATTAATTCGCTAGCATAAGATTGCTACACAAGTACTGTCTCTCTGACAGCAATTAACAATTTTTACAATGCATTCGCTCGAAGAGCAGATTATCTATTTTGCTGACTTGCATCTATGATTACTATATCAATCAGCATTGCTTTCTTTTTTCAGTGCACTATTACGTCAATCGATGATCGGTGGATCTCAACTGTATCGTCATAAAATCTTCGTAAAAGAACGAAAATAATTATTCGTTTTCATAAGCAAATTAATCTTATCTTTTTCTTCGTATCAAAATCATTAACCAATCTCAGAACGTTCTGCGCGCTCTTCAGTTCTTCATTCTCCGCCCTAAATGGCACCCCTGGGGCAAAAGGTTATTCCAAATGATTCCTTTGCCTTCCTTCCTCAAATCTCTTTCTTTTTCTTTTTTTTATTCTAAATTTTAATTTCTCGAACTATTATCGCACTGAATCTCCTTGAGTGTACGTTAAAAAAACCTGCAGTGGTCGGGGGAGGACTCAAGAAAAGAGAGAGAAAGGGCAGTAGTTACGATTTTGTAGGGTCAGGATCACCCCCTATAGGAGAGGGGACAACGAGAGAGCGAGTGCCACCCTCGAGTGTCATTCAGGGCGGATTAATAGATACGTCGGTTAGTTGAAGTTGCAAGGGGTGGAACAACTACCCCGTCATCATCGTTCCGTAGTGTTTGGGGTGCTCTTTGAGAATACTCCCCCTTCTCTCTGAGAGAAAAAGAGAAAGAGAGAGAAATAAAGAGCAAGAGAGTAACTCACTGAGATCGAAAAGATGCTGGAAGTAATGGCTGTTGACAACGACGGGAGAGGGATTAGGAAGTGCTAATTGAATGTTTAGGTATGGGTCACCGAAAGAGGCATCGGGGACGTATAGCAAATTACTGCCTATTTTAATCAATATTATTTACTTTTCAAATCTTTGCGTTTCATTTGTAAATAATTAAAAATTGCAATGCAACACAGCTGTAATGAATAATAATAAATTCGATGTTATTGCAAAGTTCGATTCTGTTTACAATCGAGAAGCACAAATTATTTCTTATAGAAATATTATGAATCATTTTGAGTTATGAATTTAAAAGCAAATTTATCGTGAGAAATAGTTTATATGTCATTTACCGAAATCTTTCTTCTATCTTTTATGATGATTTTTAATTAAGCCGTTAATTAAAAAATATCCCACTTGCATAGATTAAAACTTTAATTTAATCTTACTCTTAAACTTAATCTATGCAAGTGGGATATTTTTTCATAAAGTTTCTAAAGTTTTTTGTACGTACTATTTTATACTTTAAAGTATGCTTTTATTTATAGATAAAAGTTTGCAATAATAATAAAATATATATACTGAGAAAAAAAATGTGTACTAAATTTTAATAAATATTTATTTGAATGTAGTGTCAATTGAATATTTACTAAATATAAACATAAATTTGTTCAGTATAAGAATTATTAATTTAATTTATTTATTATTATTTTATTTAGCAAATATTTATTTTCCGTAAATAAATGTTATATTAATACTATTCAAATAATTATTTATTAAAATTTAGTACATTTTTCTTTCAGTGTACTGTAAATGATAAAACAAAATCCTAATAGAATTTCATTTTATTATCATCAAATAATCAATAATATCATTTTCGAAAATATATTAAAACTGAATTTTAATGTTTTACCCCTTAAAAAATACTCTGGGTGTGGCATATTCAATTTTCCTTTTCCGATACTTTTCCAATGCTTTTTTCATTGTTTGTAATTTTTTTAAAATAAAGATACATACATTTACTTGATATTGTTATGTTTATTATGGCTTACAGCTTAAAACTCAAGTTTTACGCCTTAAAATCTTATTGTAGATTGCCGCTTAATAAGAGACACAGATAACACAGTGAATCATTTGTTGTTTACCAAAATATTGAAAGAAAATGAAATGATCACTGTGTTACACAGTGTCGCTTGTTAGAAAGTTTCCAATATCTGGAGATACAAAGCGTTAAAACAAGCACAGTGATAAGACTGACATAGTCATAGATTATGACGCCAGACTGGTCCTTTCAATAAAACGTCAAAGTGATGCAATTCCGCAATATTCTAGTACTTATTTATTTTATATTATTTGATACTTTTTAAATTAATAGTATTGACATTATAAAACATATCTTTAAAAATAATAATTATATGTATATTAATAATGACAGATTATAATTCTATTTATTTGATTTTAATGTGACTATTAAGAATTTGCAGTATGTAACTCGTTGTATTTGAAAGCGATAACAATTCATAACGAAAATTTAACTAATTCGAAGTTTTTAACATATATTGTTCTATTATAAATAATTTGAATTTAAGTTTCTTTAAACTTATTTTTTATATTTGCGAGAATATATTCTTATATGATTTATTTATACTCTACTAAATACATACAGTTTTTATTAAAATGCAATTTGGTGATTTAATAATTCCTAATTTGAGAAGCTAAATTTCTCGACTGTACAAATACTTTTTGAGAGCTCCAACAATATAATTTTTAATTCAAACAATCAATATATAAAAAGGCAAAGAAGCTACGCTTGATGTTGTGCTATTATATGTTCGTTCAGAGAATTCTTCATCTCTATTGATTTATATCATATTAATGAACCATCAATAACTATTGATATAAGCTATGTTGATGGAAAAAAATCAAGAAAAATGTAATATTTAGGGATGTCCAGTAGCAATTTAGACTACAGGTTGATAATACATGGATGTATATTTTTCACAAGAGATTATAATAATTCAATTTGTGAAAAGGAATTTTGAGTGCGATCATAAGAAGATTTAATATTTGTGTTAAGTTTTATTGCGTTGAAGAGGACCTGATATAAAAAGATCAAAACGTCTGTATGTATTTTTGTTTTATTGCTATTTTAGAATAAACACATAAATATTGTATAGCATGAACATCAAGCGTGGCTTCTTTAACTTTTTATATATTGATTGTTTGAATTTTATATATTGGAGCCTAGTACATTGTATTGATTGGTTAAACATAATTTTTAATTTTCGCATGTTTTTAAGATAATATATTTACTATAATTAATATACGCTTCTGTATTTTTTAGGATGTTCAGAAAGATACTTTATTCAATATGCTCAAGTCATTATTAATAAAGATGGAATTGAAAATATATTTTTGAGAAAATTATAAATAACATATGAAATACATAAAGATCTCTTCGATGAAAATGATTGTATAGTATTAATGCTTCTTGAGATTTGATGATTGTCGTACTAGGAAACTTGACGTTTTATAAGATAGGCCGGCCGGTTTTATATTTTGATATCGCTGCACTTGCTCTTAACACTATTGTTGTCTCCTGATCTTGCATGATATTCACCTTGTGTGAAGTCTTTGACTTGTTACTAACCTGTTAAAAAAAATTTCGATGTTGTGGACAAGCTTTTCAAACAATTTGTAAGATATGCGTATGTATAGTGTAGAATTTACTTTTCACGCTTTTTTTTAATACACCCAAATAAGCCTGATTTTTCACTTCTTGGAGGACTCACCTCATAAAGTGGCCGGCGGCTCGATGCAAGTCCGGATCAATTTTGCTGCCGTGATTGAGACTCTCGTCTCACAAAGGGGGCGTGTTCCTAGCAATAATAATCACTAGGGGAATAATTGAGAGGTGGGTCACTGCACTGCTCAATCTATTAAGCACATAATGTGAGACCAGAGTTTTCACCGTCACGTCACTCCGGGTCCTAGTCCTAACAGTCCCCTCATACGTTGTAGCGTACTGTTGTGCTCACACTAAAGCCTATCTCTGTTGTCACTTTGAAAATCATGAGACGCGTTTTCATAGAGCCGATTTTAATTTTTGAACGAAGCTGCGATCGAACAAGGAGAGCGTCCGGAGAACTACACGCTTGGCCTCAGTGGCCTTACTCACTGCTCACCACCGTTGTCCATGGATGGCGTCGGAATGCCTCTTCGCACAGTCGGTCGACGCTAACCGCCTCCAGCAACCCCGCAGCCCAGGTTGCCACGCATTCCCCCACTTGAATTGCTATTCGATGGAGGCGTCGTCAGACTTGGTCCCAACCAATCGTTTTATCGGGGGCGGATTCTAGCACGTTGAATCTCCTGATTGGCTTTAGTAGCAAAGTTGTCAATATATTAGGTGGTAAAGGTCGTATACTCTATACTAAGGTATATGTTATTCTCACTTCTACGTTTCACCTCCGTTTCTTTTCGATCTCTTTTGGTTCTCGCGATTATGTTTTCCTTTCGATATGGAAACAATTCCTTAGCGACAATCATTTCAATGTTTCATATTGTTTCTTTCACAATAATTAACTTTGACAAAAGTAAATTATTAATTTTTCATATTTATTATGCTACTAATGCTAATACTATATACTTATAATGACATTATTTCACAAAAAGTTAGTTATTTTGTACAATTTGGTAAGTGTAAACATTTACAGTTAGAGACTTTTCTCTGCCTTTGCATTTGTTGTCTAAAGATTTCTTTATAAATTATGCAATGAGAGGAGTTATCTGAGCCTATAGCAAGATGCTAATATTACATTGATAGAAATGTAACTGAAAATCATGAGTTGTATATGTAAATCGTGGTTACCAACGAAATTAAAAGTAATGAATGATTTAACTGAAAGTTAAATTACAGTAGTTACTTAAATGTAATGAATGTATATGTTATGAATGTGTATATTAAATTTATGAAATTTAATATACTTTTTATAAAATTTTGTGAAAAGTACATTAAATTTCATGTACATGTATACAAATGTACTTTTCACTTATAAGTATATTAAACTTAATGTAATGTCATACAATTAAGTTTAAATTGTGTAACTTAAAAGTATATTAAATTTCATAAAATTTCTAACAGTGTATAATTTTTGTTTAATAATAATGAAACGAATTTCAAATGTTTCGACCTTTACAAACGAACAACTTATGTATATCACTTATATATATCGGTGCGTACTTTTCAACGATATTACTTGCCGACTAGCAGTTGATGGGTCTCCCATGTTAGACAATTCTTCAGTACCGCGCATTAAATTCATATGAATTATTCATTGCATTGAATATTGGGTAAGATACCACAAGTAAATAACTAATCCATAATTACTGATTCAAGTGAATTACAGACAGAAAAGAATTTCAAAAATTCAAAAATTAGATTCAACATCACTTCAATAAATAATTTTCAACATTTTTTAATTTCTCGTTTGCTAGGTAGGTAATCAAGCTGTAGACTGTAGGCAATCGATTTGTAGGCAAACAGGATCCTCCCTGAAATAACCAGTATCAGACTTGAATTCGAACGCGGTTAAGAATATAAATAAGAAAGCGATTTCTATTCGATTTCGAATCAATTGCTCTCTCTCTCTCTCTCTCTCTCCCTCTCTCTCTCTCTCTCTCTCTCTCTCTCTCTCTGCCTATTTGTCTATCCCTGTCACGCTTTCCTTTCTTAATTCTATGGAACGGATCCGAATTTCTTAGAGAGAAATTTAATAATAGGAATAAGCACATTAATATACTGAAAACACTTTAGAATAAGATCAAAAATTTTAAAGTTTAAAGCATAATACCGTCAAATAAATATTATGCGATGGAAGTTTTGTGATGTTTAACAAATTATTTATCATTCGTTAAGAAAAAAATCAGTGTTATAAAAATGTAATATGTTATAAAAATAAAATAATAGAAAAGAAGTCCAGCGGATGAAAATTTTCTATAATGGTAGCAGGCACGTATGAACATCGTAGAATAAGATTCAAAATTTTGAAATTTTTAAAGCACAACAAATCATACATTTATAAATGATAACAATAATGTTTAATAATAATGATAATAATTATAAATCAATCAAAATATGTATATAAAAACAATTGTATATAAAAACTAGAAAAAAATAGAATTACGTTGATCTCATCTCGAATCTCACTATCGCTACAGAAGCACTCTTGGGTGCCCGCGAGTTTAGCTGATGTGTATCTACAGTCAACTTCATCTACAACTCAGGAGCGTATTCTATTTTCTTTGCACTTTAAAATGAAATTTTGTATTCCATATTTTATATTTCACACAAAAATAGCTTCACGCAATATGAGCGCATAATTTTGAGTCTCGTGTATTATATCATTCAAGTTATGCCAGTAACATCTGATATATCGCAAATAATATCAGATCGTAATCATCAATTAAATATAAGTTAAATGTTTATTGTTACAAATAAAAACCGTTTATTCGAAATATACATTTTTATTATTTCATGTTAAATTTGAGTTATCTACATTTTTATATTTAATTATATATAAATTTTTTGTACTGAATGAAAGATCTTTGAAAGATAAGTGGAGAAGAATTATTGAGATTGGTGGAGAAGAATTATTGAGAACACAAGTACATATCTTTTCTTTGTATGCATATCTCGTTTACCTATTTTTGCAGACCTGCTGTGGCACCTCTTATTATTTCTCCTCATATCACTATTATTGTAACGTATATAAAACCAACGTGTGCTACTGAGGGATACATTAATTACACATTACTCAAGTTACACATTTGTGCGCATTCTGATGCGCAGTGTTCTCGATTATGAATGTGTGCGGATTCGTGCTCTACCGGCGTGATCGAACGTGTTATTATTTTTGAAAAGTGTGATCGGCTTCAAACGCGCAATTGAGTTATGTTACTCTTTTAGACTTTCGTATTCTGCATATTGTTTTACTCATCGCATAAGCGATATTTTCGATTTTGGTCGTATCGACTCTGTGTTAGAGTTGGGACCATTCTCACAAGAATTGTGGATGTGTAGAACCGAACTGAACACGTGGCTTAGTGTGAACACGTGGTTACACGTGGTACAAGTGTAATGTGTTGCTGTTTTGTTTAAGTGAAATACATTTACGTGATTTGTGTTTCATACATTTTATTATTAACTATAATAATAAAAAGAAACTACATTGTCTAATTGGTAAACGCTGTAAACGTATTACGCATTTTCTTGAGACCACATGTCTGATTTTCAAATTGTGATCGTTTAATAAAGGTTATTTTAATAATGATAGTTTGTTACAATCGATGATAAACAATAAGATAATTGTATTGCAAAAGTTGATCCTGATCGAAATAATAAACTCGACTGCGACTTGAAGAACATGAGGAAATTCAGGATAAAAGTGAGGTTAGAATATTAATTACAATTTTCTCGCATTTTACGAAAAGTTAAATATTTCGACGAAAAAATCTCAGAGAGGTTTTCCACGCATTTTAAAATGTAAAGGTAGGTTCAAATCTGCGTTGAATTTTTTGTCTACGATATTTTGTTTTTAAGTTACATAAAATTGAAAAATAATATCTTTGCAATATTTTTGTCTTACTTTAAAGCGCTACAATTCAATGAAACATCAGCAAATAAAATTTAATCTGAAAGTAGGCTTCCTATAGGTAGACTACCCACATAGAATATTTTTTGGGATCAGATTAGAATCTAGTTGGATTCTTCAAAAAAATTATGGATTCTGAGGAAATCTATAAAATCTATTCTATACTTACTAAGAATAATTGTGATAGTGAGAGTAAATGTGACTTGCATTTGAAAAACAAATTTTGGGATTATTTTTATCAAACACATAAAAAGTATAATTGTTAATTATTTTCAATGTGTTTGATAAAAATAATCTCAAAATTATTTTATATAATTTATTTTTTATTTATATATTATTGTACATTACATTTACTTCTACAGTTATCCCTGTCACAATTATTCCTAGTGATTCTATACAGCAATACAAAAAAGAAAATTACATACATCATTAATCAATATTTATATATGTATACAATTTTTATTTTTTATTCTGTTGTAATGCAATGAATTCCATGTTTAATAGACACAAAAATGTGATTTTCCATTCGATTTCATATATATATATATATATGTATATATATAAAACAGCGATTTTAATTAATAATACAAAAAGAATCATGTGAATTTCTGCACTGATTTATTCCGATTCTAAACAGAAAATCCAAATTTGAGATAAAAATAGATTTACTAATTAGTATCGCAGTGCGATTTACTTATTTGGACATTCTAAGCAGAATCTAAGATTTTAGATTCTATTCAGAATCTAAATATTTGGGAAGATTTTGGGAAGATTTGGGAAATTTCTATGCAGTTAGTTTTATTATATAATTTCCTGTAGTTTTATTATATAGATCTTGATGCTACAAATGATTCAAAGCATTTTTTGATTGGTTAATTAATAAAATTCTTTCTTCCGATTGATCAATCAAAAGCTTCGAAACATTTGTAGCGTTAAGTGGATCGCTCATAGTTTCCTATATAGTTTTCTATAGAAAACCTACTTAAAACTAGCTTACCTAGAATAGTTATAAGTTTACTTATAAGTTTTAAAATGCTTTTTGGAAAAAATTTGTACGATTTAATTTTTTGCAATACGTGTAACTGTATTGCTCTCTTAATATTTGTCCTCTTAAAGACCCAAAGATGTGATTTCTTCAATATTCCCAGTAAGAAGTATATTACACAAATTTTTAATTATTTAACAAATGCTAATCGTAATTCGGTGATATAAAAAATATAATTATAAGTTTGGCTATTAAGAATTATAACACTATACTATGTATGTTAAATACATGTGTGTGATATTATTACATTGTGTCTCTTATATTTAATTAATTTGTATACATGTTTCGGCTAAATTTTTAGCCATCTTCAGTGCACACAGATGAATTCGTAATAATGAGATTTAAATTGTTTAAATTTGACGAGACAGCAGTTCACTTCGATGCTAAAATAATTTTATTGCGAAGCTATTTTAATTATTAATTAACTGAATTGTTATATCAACAACGTTTATCGGCAGTGTTTTGATGAAAGCGCTTAATCACAGTTGCAATATCCAGCTAGTCCCAACTGATTGCGTCTTTACTCCAA